ATTAATTAATTAAAAAATATAATTATAATTTACTAATTAGTAAATTACTCACTATAATTATAATTGTAAAATTGAGTTACACAATTTAATCACATTTCTCTCTAATCAATCAATTAATTAATTAATTATAATTTACCAATTACTACACACAAATTTTTAAAAATTTTTCTAAACTAAATTTCTAAAAGAATTTGCAGATTTCCATGCATTTCCAATTTTTGTTTCCAATTTTTGTTTTGGTCAGCTTGAGGAAATCTGCATGGAGATTTCCAACTCTTGTTTCGGTCAGCATGGCTGACCGAAACATGCAGGCAATCTACAGAGCAGATTTCCAACTCCTGTTTTGGTCAGTCATGCTGACCGAAACATCTTTGCAATTTTAGAACCATCGTCAAATCGGTTCAGATTTTTATTTCGATCAATATTTATGACCGAAATAATAATATTTTATTTTATTTATTAATATTTAATTCTAAAAAAAGTATTGATATTTTTTTATTTTTATTCGGTCAATTTTCTTGACCGAATAAATGGGTAGAAACATTCGGTCAAGACACTTGACCGATTTGGTTCGACACCAATTGACACCAAATTAATTCGGTCAATATACTTGACCGAAATAAAATGGGACCGAATTGTATGCTTTTTTCCATTATTTTCGGTCAATTTTAATTTTCGGTCATTAAATTTGTCCAAATTAATTATTTTTTCGGTCAAAAAAATTATTTGACCAAAATATTCGGACCAAAATGATCAAATTTCTAGTAGTGATTTTTGGTAATTAATTTATAATAAAAATTATAATTTTAATATAAATTAATTAAAAAATATATATTTATTATCTTTTTAATTCATACCCTTAAAATACGAATTATACAAATTCATAGTTTTTTCATTTCCAAAAAAACTGAAGTTCCTCCAAGATTTGACAGTTATTTCCCAAGATCCCCATCTCCACGTTGCATAATAGGAGCACAAGACCTTTAAAATGTGTATTTTGGGGTCAAAGATGTGATTTTCCAGTCTTCACGTTGCCCAACACTATCACAAGAACTGTAAAAGCTATATTATTATGGTGGGGCAAAAGACTTGTAAAAGGAAGAAATAAAATTAACGAACCCTACCGCGTGCGTGATTCACAACCCAGAACGCTTGGTCCTAATTAATTAAGTTGACTTAAGACCAAAAAGACTTCCAAGTCTTGGAAAAATAACTCGACTCATCAAGACTTCGAAAAGCACACAAGTCAACTTAATAAAATAACTCGACTATCATCAAGACTATTAAGCAAAGGAAAGATTAAAAGAAAGTGCCCAAATACTGACATCTTAATTTTTAAAAAATGACAGTATATATTATGTTTAAAATTTATTTAATTTATATTTTAAAAATATAAATTAAAAATATTAAAATATATCATTCACTACTAGAAAACCATACAAGTTCGTCAGTCACACTGATCGAATAAACCTATATTTTGACAAAAAAACTACTATTTTGGTCAAGATACTTAATCGAATTGTTGGACCGAATAAGCACTGACAGAAATACAATTTCGGATGGAATTTTGTCTTGACCGAAATTATTTATTATTTCGGTTAAGATCATTGACCGAAATATGGGGTAAAAAATCATTAAAAAAAACTTAGTTTCGGTGAAAATATTTGACCGAACTATTAAAACA